GAGAGAGAGAGAGAGAGAGAGAGAGAGAGAGAGAGAGAGAGAGAGAGAGAGAGAGAGAGAGAGAGAGAGAGAGAGAGAGAGAGAGAGTTGGGGAGAGATGCTGAGTCAAATGTTGTTGACCGCTCTTTTATATACAGCGTAACAGCGAGCATCATGCTCATCACGTCATCGCAGCCAACAGCCAGGTCATTATCGCACATGAACCCAGATGTTGAGAGCTAGACTTGTTGTCGTTGTCATGGGCGGAAAGGATGGAAGATCAATGAACAGGAGCTAGAGTTGTTGTCGTTCTCCCAGGCGGAAAGGATGGAAGATCGATGAACAGGAAAGAATATGTGTCACAGCTTGCTGGCACAGTCCTGCTACCGCCATCCAACCTGACTCGGGCGAAACAAGGTCAAGTTGTTGTTGTCAAGTTGCGTTCATTGATAATGACATCAGTTATGTTGAGTTCAACACCAATCCGAGCAACCGCGCACATATAGCAATTAGTCAAATCAAAGACTCTAATTACAGGCTGATTACTAATTAGTAATTACTAATTAGTAAATCCCAAATACACCCACGTGGCTGCACTGTGGTGGTTCAGAAAGACGACCGCCTCCAAAGATGGCAATCGAGATCGTCCTCGGCACGCGACACGACACCACTAACGTAGTACTTACAAAAAACACTCTGCATGTGACTATCTGGTTAAGACATCGTCCTCGACACGCGACACGACACGACACCACAACGCACACCTCTCATTCATTTTACATACGCCGTCCTCGACACGCGACACCACAACGCACACCTCTCATCCATTTTACATGCCCCCTCAGCCTCAACAGACGACACTACGGCACAACACCCACTCGTTCGCTAATGCATTCCCATCATCTCCATTCACACTACGTGCGTTCATCAGGCTTGAAGTTCATGTTAGTTTGCGACTTCAAGTTCGTGTCATGCGTACTTGGTCACATATTGCCATTCACATTCATTCATTCATCCATTCATTTACTACATATACTACATATCCTTTGTCAATCACATACCTATCCTCATTTACATACATTCTTGTTCTGCAAGTTAACCTGCATTTAAAGTTTAAACTCCACACACGGTATCTAGTCCTCTTTCTGGCGCGCATACGTTCTTGCACTTGCTGCTGCTAGCAGCACCCAAAGGCTGAAGGTGCATGACAGAGAAGTTTCGCATTACATCGTTCATTTTGTGTTCTTCTTCAATCGCTGAATGATTGGCATCAATGGCAGAAGAAACAGCACACGCATGTCCTGAAGCAATCTCCAGGGTATTCAAACCGGTGCCTGCCTCCACGGTCGACGTCTTTGACAGATATCGCCTGCAATTCAAATCCGTCTCATCTGTTGCCACTGTTAGGTTCCCTTCCTCAAGCTCTGCGATCCTCCCCCTGCGATTACGCCACCATAGCCCATCACAGGCCCAGAAACTTAGAGAGTGAAATGGTTCACCGCAGTTGTTGATGTGGTGGTTGTTGTCACGATGATGATGGACGGAACAAGATTGTGGATCTTGTCGTGGAACGTCCACCGTCCGATCCAAGTCGTCATCCATTTGATCGACAAAGGAGTCTGTATCATGCTGACGATGCTGCTGCTGCTGATGATGATGATGATGATGACAATGCTGTGTGCCAGCGTCAACAGTCTCGTCTACTTCGACCAATGTTTGCAAAGATTCAGAAAGCTCGCAGTCAACATCCTTCGCGTATCTTGCGGCCACAGATTCAGAAAGCTTCTTGTTGCGATCCGCCTTTCGCCGTTCCCGCTTCCGACAGTTCTTCACATACTTCCATAGTGAGGCCAAAGTTTCGTCGCTGACAGTCGAGAGATCCCATCCCAACGGTTGGTCAACGGGAGGATGCTTGAAAACCTCAGCGCCTTCCACTGGCATGTCATCGTTACCCGGCTGAGCACTAGCAATCATACTTGCAGCTCGGACGATCCGGCCCCGGCTCAGCTGATTCAAATTCCTCAGAACCCTAGCATAAGACCTTTGACTCCTTGGTCCTCTCCTCCACTTCAGTGCATTCTTGTTCCTCTCCTTCTTCCTCGTCTGCTCCTCATGCTCTTCTCGTTGCTCTGACTTCTGCTGCTGCTGCTGCTGCTGCTGCAACAAGGCGCCAGGGTAGTTGTCGAAGGAGAGAGATGCGCCCTCCTCGTGCTGCTGCTGCTGCTGCTGCAACAA